GAGAACCAGCAGGAGTTTGGCGTGTCCCCAGAACCCAGGGTCCTAAAAAACAGTCTAGTCTCCATAGAATTACATTGTTCAGTCATGTAGGCCAGACAGCCCCTCTCAAAGTATACAGGTAGAGGGCTTGACTAGAGGCCTCAGGCCCTAGGGATTTACATACTAATGAAGGCCAGAGAGCAGAGCAAATTAAACATGTCTCCCCAGATCCTCCCAGATCTTTCCCAGATCTTCCCCAGATCTTCCCCAGATCTTCCCCAGATCTTCCCCAGATCCTCCCCCTTTCTCACTCCCTATATAACTCGGGACTGCCCTGAGTTTTGGGGGGATACACCCAGATACATCCACCATCCGCCATGACTCCACTACTTCTAAATCCACCGTTAATGCCTTTTCCCCCAACAGGAACACCTAAAACAACAGTGTTTGTGCTTTTCAACCCAAAATTTTTCACCTTTTTGTTTAAATGTCTCCTTTTCTCTCTAACTCATGATATATGTCCAACATTTTTTTTCAATTCTTAAGACTTCTTCAAGGTTCAAAGGTAATCTAGATCTACTTCCACCGGTTAAATCAACATGCTGATCACCATCTTTCAGCTCTTAATTAACAACTAGTTTCCTTTTACAGACAAACTGTTACTGCCTACATAATTAATATGATGTTTTTCTTCCTCAGCCATCCAAAACAGACTCAAAGGTGACTTCTAAGACTAAAATTTCCTCAAACACCTTTGCCTTTCTAAGATCTCAATAGCACACCATGACGTACCTGATCCCAAGTAGCCTAATGCTTACTACACACCTTTTGCAGACATCCCCCTGCCTGGGTGCTGCTTCCCTGTTGTGATTATTCTACAGGTGCTCCCCCAAGTCCAACAGAGACAACACTACCTCCTAGAACCTGCCTAGGATGCCATGCTGTCTTCTTGCAGCCATACCACCTAACTGCAGATTCCAGAGACACACTGAGATCCAGAGACACACGCTGAACTCCAGACACACGCCAAGATCCAGAGATGCTCACTGAGTCCTATAGACAGATTCAGACCTTCCAGCTACAAATGAACTCTTTTGTCAACGTCAAATAGCTAATGTTACATGTTAGTGAGGAAAACTTAATGTCTTTTTAGATTAGTCAGCTGTTATTAATCTTAAACTATACCACCTCAAACTATAATCAATTGATTCAATTATCCCTTGCTTTCCCAACCCCCACCCTCAACTCCCCTTACCTGTGACTTAATTGTGATAACCCCTGTGGGCTACATAATACTTTCTTTTGGCTTCCTCATCCAAAATTTTCACCACAGACGACACAGTGAACCCCCCCTTTTTTTAAAAAAAAAAAAGTAAAGGGGAGGAGATGTGGGACTGTGTAAGGGTATTCTGGATCATGGCTAGACAGTTGCCTAAGACCCCGAGACTCTGCGTGAGAACTGGCAGGAGTTCGGTGTGCTCCCAGAACCCAGGGTTCTAAAAAGCAGTCTAGTCTCCATAGGATTACATTGTTCAGTCACGTAGGCCAGACAGCCCCTCTCAAAGTATACAGGTAGAGGGCATGACTAGAGGCCTCAGGCCCTAGGGACTTACATACTAATGAAGGCCAGAGGGCAGAGCAAATTAAACATGACTCCCCAGATCCTCCCCAGATCTTCCCCAGATCCTCCCCCTTTTTCCCTCCCTATGAAAGTTGGACTGCCCTGAGTTTTAGGGGTGTACTTCCAGATTCATCCACCATCTGCTACGACGATAAACTTTCTGGAACCAAGGACTTCCTCATGTCATTGGGGCCTGCTGCCACCAAAGCCTTCAGGACGCTGGAACATTAGACGTTCCTCTTGCTGGGACCCACAGCATGGAAAGCCTCCAGGCCAACACCACCGCTGTGGCCAATATTTTTCTCCACAGGGATCTAGACAAAATAAGTAATAAATATGATAAATTTAAGAGAACACAGGAAAACTAATATACAAGAAATGTGAGATATCATGAAAAAACAAACAACTTTGAATTCTAGGTATAGGTGAAGATGAACAATTCCCAGTCAATGATAGAGAACAAATATTCAGCAGGATCATAGAAGAAGAAAACTTCTCCAAACTTACAAAAGATATCCATATATATATATATATATATATATATATATATATGAATCATAGAGAACACTAAATCAACAAGAACAGAAAAGAAAATACTCACAATGTATCATAGTTAAAACACTAAGTACACATAGTATACACGAGAAAGAAAGTGTATTGAAAGCTGAAAGAAAGCAGGCAAGTCATATATAAAGGACAACTCATCAGAATAACAGCTGGTTTCTCAATGGAAACTGAAAGCCAGAATAGTCTGGTACAATGTATTCCTTCCTAAAAGTCTATGACAGTTACCCTATACTTATATACTCAGCAAAATTATGTGCCAAAATTGAAGGAGAAAGAAAAACTTTCCATGATATATGCATAAAAATATATAATCCAGAAACAAAATCTAAAGAAAACACAGGAAGCAATATTTTGGGTTGAAGAGCATAATAAACATATCAGAGAGAATGTGGAGGAAAAGCTATATTTATTAATATACAAACTATTACTTAGAACACAAAAAACACTACTCACACTCAGCAACACAATAATGATGACAATCAACACACAGACTTCAATTCTCCAAATCAAAATCCCAGGCTCACTGAATGGATCAAGCAACAAAATCCATATTTCTGTTGTCTGCAAGAAACATATCTTAGGTTTAAAGATAGCTCGTGCCTTAGAACAACAGGAAGGACAAAAGTCCTGCAAGTGGAACTGGGAAGCAAGGTGGCATAGTTATTCTAATATAGGGCAAAATAAACTTCAAACTAAAACCAATTAGAATAGATAAAGAGAAACACTTTATTTAATCACAGACAGTTAACCAAAAACACATTACTGCCTCTAACATATGTGCACCAGCCTCTAGAGCACCTGATTTCATTAAAGACGTACTACTGGATTAGAAAACAGTTTAACAGCAATCCATTTATATTTGGTGATTTCAATACCCCACTCTCTTCAATAGATAGGTCATCTAGATAAATAAAAAAATAGGCAGAGTACCACCAGAATTAATTGACACCATAAATCCAATGGCCTTAACAGATCTACAGAATATCCGACACAATCACCAAAGAAAACATGTCCTACTCAGCAGCACATGGAAGCTTTTCTAAAATAGACCCCATCTTGGAACACAAAAAAGATCTTTCCAAATTCAAAAAGACTTAAATAACTCCTTGTCTTGCCTGAACACAATGCAATAACACTTAAAAGTAACAGAAAGCAGTAAACACTAAAACTGATGGAGGTTAAGCAACTGAATAATGAGTGGGTCAAAGAGAAAATCAAGAAAATATTCTGGAACTAAATGAAAATGAAAACTCAATGCAACAAAATCTTTGGAATATTAAAAACAGAACTACAAGGCAAGTTTGTTGCCCAAAGGGCCTACATTAAACATTCAGAAAGTGCTCAAAAATGATTTCATGGTAGGTCTTGAAAACTTGAAAAGCAAAACAAAACAAAACAAAAAAACCAAACCAAAACAAACAAAATCCAAACCAAGTCAGTAGCAAGAACTAGTAAAAACAAAACCAATAAAAATTAATGGAACAGAAACCAAGAAAACTATGTAAAGAGTTGATGAAGTTAAGAGCTGGCTCTTGGAGAAGACAAACAACTCTGAAAGACCCTTGGCCTATTTGAGCCACTGTTGCTCTGGTGTATCTTGTAGACAGGTTGCAGGCTTTGTTGCTGGGTGATGTGGATGATTGCTTTTCACCTAGGGTGGCATGCAAAGTATCTTCTAGCACTATGAGTGTATCAGAAAATGATCATTAGCACTATTTCTTCAGGGCTGATGATCTAAGTAAATTTTTTCTCATCAGTCATAGGGCCTTACCATCAGGTTGTGAAGATTCCAGTATAGCCTTGGTAATAGTCTCTTATGCTTGATGGGGGAGTGAAGATAGAGGAGTACACTATGGGACCCTTTGACCAACAACTCAAAAAGATATTACTTGTTCCTGGCATTGGAAATTTTACTTGGTGGCAAAAGATGTTTAGTGGGAAATTGTCTTCACTATTGTAAAGGAAGTTTTGAATCTTTAAGGTTTTATCTTCTACCAAAGTTAAAACATTTTTAGCTTTCCCTTCTTCGATGGGTCAGACAACACTTTTTTTCTTTTTGGAGCACAGTGGTGCTCATATTGAGTATTTTCTTGTTGAACTATCTAGTCTGCAGCAATTCATTTTTTAATCTGTTATTTTAATTGTCTGATGGAATAATTCATATTGATCTTTCCAATCCCAATATTGTGCTCCATATTTTGCACTCTAGTTAAGCCCATCTGATAGGACTTTTTGTCTTTATTCTTTTTATGTTATTTGAAGATAGAAACTTTATAATATTTGCATTTTTTTCATTTTTTTGTGAAAAATGGTTCATAGTTCATGTCTGGCTTTCATAGCGTATTTGCAATTTCAACTTTTTTGTAGGGTCAAAACCTTGATTCTAATAGTTTATCTTATATTAAATTATTATGATTCTAAGTGAAATGGAATCATCTTAAGAAAAGCTCATTTTTTGGTACAAATTTGAACGGGTTTAATTTTTTATTACTAAGTGAACAAAAACATGATGAAAAATAAAGTTTGTTAGATATTGACATTTCTAACATTTCTAAAGTATCAGTGAGGTAACCCAGAATCAGAAAGACAAACACTGTATCTTATCTCCCATCTATAGTACTTAGCTTCAATCTCAGGAATGAGTTTAGTACCTGGAGTAACTCCATAAACCTGGAAAAAGCAAAGAGGCCATGGTGGGAGGGGGAGGAATACTAGAAAGGGAATGTCAGTGTATATGTGATGTGAAGAGAAAAAATGGGAAAAATGGTTATTCTATATTATGTGGTTAAACCTAAAAACATGTAGACCAGCAATAAGGACAGGCTATATTTATATATTTATTCATTTATTTATACATATATGTAGCAATAATACAATATATGCATGCAAAGTTATAATTAGATAAAAAGAAAAAAATCATTATATAGAGAGTAGAGTGGAACAGGGGACAGAGGGTGGCTAGGAGGGGGTAGAGGGAAGGAGGAATGATATAATTATATTTAATTAAACATAAAAATTTAAAAGGAAGTAACCATTTACATTTAATCACACATTTAAATACTATAAAACTTAAAGAATCTTTTAAGGATTGGATCAGTATGGACTGCCCCAGAAATTGATAGGAAGGATGAGAGCTTTTCACTCATTAGGTACAATTTGGTCTCTCAGGATATTGACAAAATCAGAAATCTTCTGTGCATCATTGTACAAGCAGAAGAACAAACTATGCAAACCAAAAAGTTGAGTGCCTCTTTTTGATTGCTGTACATATGGCTCTCCTGACCAGGCAGGGTAGTCCTCATTTTCCTTAAGTTCAAGATGAACCTATTCACAAAATGAAAGTCAGCCAGTTATTATTTTCATTATTAATATTTATTTAATGCCATTACTTGAAAAATTTGAATAATACTTTGAAAAATATTATGAATATAAATTTTAAGGAAAAACATGTGTTTCATGTATGTGGACCAGGGTGCTACCAATCTGTTAGTTATCTAAAAACTAGACATAAGAACTATGCAAATATTTTTGTTATATAGTTGATCTAAGATGAAATATATTATTCTAGGAGTAGACAGAATTGCTACTTGACTATGGACATGGTTTTGACCAAGGGACAATGAAGAATCTCTAATCAGTTCTCTTGTGAGGAAACTTCCATGTTCTCAGTGTCATACCTGATGTACCATTTGTAATTTATTAGTCTTAATAGACAATTGTGCTTTCCTCTCTTTCAACAATATTTGTTTTCCATAAATTGTAGACACAAAGCTACACAACTGATGAGAATTTCACCTGGTGGGATAAAATTCTTCCAATTTATGGATGATGGTGCTGAAATAATCGGGATACTTTGACTCTGCCCAGGAAAGGCATTGTCCATGTTATTTCTAGGAATCATTAATATATCAGAAGAGCCCTGTGTTGTGGGATGTTGAGTGAAACACTTTTGATCTGCCACAAATCTTTTAGTCCCCAGACTGTTTATGAGATTACCTGGCCAAATTTCACTGTGGCAGGCAGAGAATCAGTCCCAAGTTTAGTGTTCATTATAGATGTAACATCTTTCATAAAGAACAAAAGCTGTAAGGTTTAAAAGAGACAACTTACCTGGATGAGTATAGTCTTAATGTTCTGCAGATCTTTTATAAGTGTTTTGATTTGTCTATCAATCAATTTAACTTTTGATATGATAGCATAAGGAGTTCCATCAAGATCAGCCATATTGTTTTCTACATAGTACGGAAGGTTTTTCCAGGCAGCTAGCATTCTGATAGTCACATTCAGAAGCACCACAGGCTAAGCAAAAACAATTGAGCATCACATTAATATAAGTGTACAACTGGGGATTGACTTGTATGTGATAACTAGTTTAGTATTCTTGGCTTGTGAAGTTTTGGATGATTGACTGAAGCGATACTGAATCAGTGGTTTGTGAAGTGTCTATCCATGAAGCAGCTCCCAGTAGGCACTTTCTCTTCTTTTACTTTTTCTTATGTTTTACAATTGTTATGTGCCTAGCAGATATACAGAATTCTGGTCTAGCAAATCATCAGGGAGAACAGATTACATGTGTGTCATGTGCATATGTATTATGATAATTACTTTAAATCATGCTGAGATTGGTTATGAGCAGGTCATCAGATGAGTAGCCTATATATACTATAAAACACACTAGCACTGCCTGCCTAATCCATATCCATACTCCATGAAACATTAATAACATTTTACTGGACCTGTATGCAAAGACCCTAGAGAATTGTGTCAGGTAAGAGTAAAAAAGTAGGCAGAAGAGCAGAAGTACAAGAAACATCTTCCAAGTCAAGAAGAGTTGATGTCATGGTTAGTAGTGTACAAAGCTTCCCAAGGCAATGCTTTAGTAATAGTAAAGATTGCAACTCTAGTTCCTTAAAAAACAAACAAACAAACAAACAAACAAAAATGCCTTCATGTGAAAAAAAATTTAACTATGAAAATTCAGATCAATTCAAAGTCTCTTCCATAATAAAAGGTTCAATCCTAGTGGTAAAGCTGTTATTAAAATAGGGAATGATTGATGACCAATTCATGGATTTGCTTTAACTTTTATTTTACATGTACTTTATTAGCTGTATGGTATGCCTGTCTTGTGTTGCTTGTTTTTTCTGCACATTCCTGAAGGTTTGGTTATCGTGTCTAGATAGTATCTGTTATCAAGACTCACCTGCATTCTTTCAGCCTTCCTTTTGTTATTTGGGATAGAGCGGGATGAAGTGTGACAAGTCATGGTGGGCCTGTTCTGGAATTTCTGTTGTGGATCATACTCTGTATCCTCAAAATTAAAAAAAAAAATCAGTTGGAGTTTTGGAATTGAGTAAATGAACTCATGAGCTGACTGTTAATTATTAATGCAGTTTTCTATAGGTGCTTAAAATATTTATTTTTTAGTTTTTTTTGTAGAATTTCACCTATGAGTACTGTATTTAAGTAATGATCAGCCTAAACACTCTTCTCTGCATGTCCTCCTAGATCCACACTCCCTCTCAACTTTATGATTTCATTTTTTAAAGACATGGTGCTCTTCACTGAGTTTATTTGACCTTTGATGAAAACACACACACGCACACACACACACACACACCCCTCTATAATTAATTAATGGAGAGCTATACAAGGTTTCAATAAACTAATCTTTCAAATTTCATAAAATAAATCCCATAATTCTCTTTAATTCATTTTCTTGAAAATAATTATCAAGATATACCTTGAATAAATGAAATTCATGTATGTGATAAGGAACTGAGAATGTAAACCCTCCTGAGGCTTGTACAGTGAGTAAATCCTCCTTGGACAGTTCAGTATACTTCATGGAAGGAGCTATATGAGTTTCTTTTTTTAAATTTTTGTTGCACATGCACAACACACACATATAAATATGAATATGTACATATGACCCGTAAGTCCATAGTGTTGCTCATATGTCAGTATGTTTCTTGATAACGACTTGGGATTGGATAATGTATCAAGGGGCTTCTCCCTGAAGAATCCTGGTTCTTCATCTATTTGAAGTGATTAATTTCTTATAATTCCTCCTGCATGGGCGAGGAACATGTAAAACTTCTATCCATGAGTTAAGATGTCAAGAGTATGTCAAGTCTCTAAATTAAGAAATTAAAAAAGAAACTCTTGGTCTATTTGCTTCTTTTCATTGGAGATGTAAATCTAATTTTCACGTCTAAACATTTAACTTTTCATCTCTTTACAATTTTACTGTTCTGATTTCTCTGTCTATTAAAAGTTACTATTTACAAAGGAAGCACTAAACCATCAAATTTACAAAATATTATTTTAATGTTTATCTTTCTTTAGGATTAGAGTCCAGTACCTAGTACATATATGCCTTCAAATCCATGATTTCTGTTGGAGAAAACTGATATACTTACTTTAATTACACTTTATAAATTTATATTTTTACTTCCTATTAGCACTGGCTCTATATACCTTGACTATATCAAATTCATGCAGATTTAAGAATATAATTGTGCTGATTGCAATAGTATCCAAATATATCTTAGAAATACTACACAAAGAAAAAATTTAAAGTGTAAAATCTAATTTAATATTTACATATTAGTTGATATCTAAATATTATATGTTCCTATATATTATTTACCACATTCATAATTTAAATTTCATAATCAGCTAAATTGTTAGTGTTTCATGAGTTGTTAGGGATCTTAAGATTAAAGGTTGCCAAACAGGAATGGAGGATTAAAAAAAAAACAGTGACTACAGAGGACAATATCAGTACATGTTTATTGGACACATGATTTACTGCACACACGTGCTGATACTCATTGATGCTGCAACTCTCATCTGTTTTTGCTTCCTGGACTGACATAAAGTGGATAAGGTCCAGCTTTCAAAGTACATTCATCAGGGAGAGAAAGCCTGGTTATGTTTCTAACCCAGTTCTCACCTTGTAATGGTAATCTCACATCCTCAAATTCTTTAAACAATGGCTTCTAGATTTGGGGGTTTTGAAATTGTTTCAGTCATACTAATTCTTTTCAATGTAAAGGATTCATCCAACTTGATTCTCCTCTTTTGACTATCTGCAGTGTGCTAAGTGAACAAAGCCAGTGGAGACTACCTGCCCCCAGCACCCAAGAACAGGACCTTAAAGCTCTTTACATTCATTTCTTTTAGGACATTCTATCAAGAGTAGAAAGTTAAAGGGAAAGGAAAAGGGATCAGGTATGGAAAGAGACAGGAGAGAAGTCCAGAGGGTCAGAACAATGAATAGAAATATGTAGCAGTGGGGGTGGGGAAGGAGGAATCACTAAAATGTCCCAGATGCCAGGGATGAAAGAGATTCCCAAAACCCAGTCAGGATAACATTATCCAAAATACCCAACAGTGGGGAGCTAGAACCTGAAAAGAGCACCTCCAGTAGATCGGCATGGTCCATAGTTGAGGGATGGGCCATCCATCCATCTCAAAATTTTTAACCTAGAAATTTTCCTGTCTAAAGGAAATGCAGGGACAAAAAATGGAGCAGAGACTGAAGGAAAGGCCATCCAGAGACCACTACCACCTTGGGACCCAGCCAATCCGCAGATACCAAACTATTGATGATGTCAACCATTGGAACTGAGCAGGGAGACAGGGCACAATGGAAGAGTGAGGGAAGGACTGAAGGAGTTGAAGGATACTGCAACCCCATAGGAAGAACAACAATATCCACTAACAGAATCTCCCCACCCCCTAAAATTTCTAGGAAATAAACCACCAACCAAAGAGGATATTTGAATGGGTCCATGTATGTAGCAGAGGATTGCCTTATCTGGTGTCAATGGGAGTAGAGGCTCTTGGTCCTGTGGAGGCTTGTTGCCCCATTGTAGGGGAATGCTAGAGGGAAGAGGCAGTGTGGGACTGCGTAAGGGTATTCTGGTTCATGGCTAGGCATGGGCCCAGAATCCCGAGACTCTATGTGAGAACTGGTAGGTGTTCGGCCGCACCCCCAGAACCCAGAATCCTGACGCACAGTCTCCATAGATATACATTGTTCAGTCACATAGGCCATTACAGCCCCTCCCAAAGTGCACAGGTAGAGGGCGTGACCATAGGCCTCAGGCCTTAGGGATTTACATACTAATGAAGGCCAGAGGATGGAGCAAATTAAGCATGCTTCCCTAGAACCTCCCCCCTTCTTCCCTCCCTGTTTAACTCAGGACTGCCCTGAGTTTAAGGGGGGTACTTCCAGATCCATCCACCATCCACCATGACAATAAATCCTTTTGGAATCAAGGACTTCTTCACGTCATTGGGGCCTGTCGCTGCCAAAGCCTCCAGCCACTGGAACCTTAGACCTCCTCATACATGTGGGACCCGCAGCATGGAAAGCCTCTGGGACTTCACCACTGCTGCAGCCTTTTTTCCCACAAGGCAGGAGTGGATGGGTGGGTGGAGGAGCACCCTCTTAGAAGCA